CCCTGGGCTTTCTTGGCGGATCCGATCTGCAGTCTAAGCCCTGTGACTTTAACGTTGCCCAGAAAGCGTTGGTCGCCCAACTCGCCACGGACAATCCTTGGCGAAAATCGGCTCGGAGTTCCGAGCTCCATTAGGAAGAAATGGTTCCCTCCCTCCCTCCTCCTGTCCCCCCCTCCTCCCCACCCCAGGGCAAGATCTGGGAGAAGTTTGGCTGGCTGGGGTTCCTAAAAGCCGTCGAAGGCTCTGTGGCAGATTCTACAGACTTTCCCCCTGTATCCCGAGGTGGGGAGACAACGCAGCACACCTTTTTCGGTGCTAAGGGAGAGCGACTGGTTAGGAGGGCTTCTTTGCCGAGGTGTCCGAACTCGAAAGCTGGAGAGACCAGGAATGAATGCTGGGCCTTCGGAGGCCAGGGTGTCCAAGCCCAGGACAGCCATTCTGCGCTGATGCTTTGTATCCTACACCAGCGTGGTCGGGCCTAGCCAGCCCCGAGCGGGCTTCGTGATGCAAAGGTTAACCTGCCTGGAGGGTCGGAACCACAAAAACCACAGTGGCGATAAAGGAGAAATCAAGCAATGTTGTTGCTAATAGGAAAGGCTACGAGAGAGAAAGTAGAAGAAAGGCCTGACAGGAGGTGGAAAGGAAAGAGGAGGCAAAGAAAAAAAAATGTAAATTCAAGCCCATGTAGAAAGATCCGTTGATTAAAAACAAATTAAGACAGGAGACCTTTGATTAAATGACATTTAACAAATGGAGATGGGAGGGGGAGGAAAAGTCTGAGTACATTCTCTACAAAAATGTCAGTCAGACGTAAACTGGGGGATAAAAATGTCCTGCAAATGTGAACTTTATGTTTTGACCACTGAGCAAACTACCTTCGGTGCAAAAATTAGATCTAGAACAAGTGTTAAACAAAAGACAAAATACTTATACCAATTCTTTTTTTTTTTCGGTGTGATTTTGTTTTAGAATGTTTGGTGATTAAACCATTTTGAGGAATACAAAACGAAACCAAACAAAAAACCTGAATCATCAGCACATTTATTTACTGTTTTTAAACAGTAGAAACTCTTAGTGAGAGGTGAAAAGTATTATTTTAGAATCTCATATTGATTAACTTAAACATGCTCGAAATAATGCTTTAGTTGAAAGCAGGTCAATACAAAATTGTGTAGTAAAAAGCTTATGTAGTTTGAACCAGAAAAGGCCTTTATTACCGACAAAACTGAAGGAAAAAAGGCACACCAGCAGACATCGCACAATTTCATTTGAAAAAGAAACACTATCCCTTTCTAAATAGAAAGAAATTGGCAAAATATGTTACTGAAATAAATCTACAAGCATTTCTAATACATTTCTGGTAATAATTGATCAAATGTGACTTATTCTCCATGTCAAATCTAACTCATTTATCTTTAGATGTGATTTTAAATAATCTAGACTTTTTGAGTTTCTTCCACTATTAAGAAACGAACAATAAAAATTGATGAATTTAAAAGGGGGTAGAATGAAGCCACAATGTACATTTAATTGTACTTAATTGTATACTTCATTTAAATAACTTCCTCAGAGGTTTAATAATTTAGAATCAATAGTGCTCCTCAAAACATAATAAAATATTTACACTTTATAAAATATTAACCTATTAACAATACAGCCATGTTGTTTAGAAGAGTGTAACTTAAGTCCTGTCATAATGATGTTGACACAGGCTTGTGAGGTTAGCTTAGTGATCCTTAACAAAATGTAAATGAAGATCTTCAGACAGTGGTGTTTATAAAATAGCTCATTAATGATTTAGGATTGAAGCGTTCCAACCGTTCACATCACCAGACATAATAATAGTGACGAATCAGACAGAAAAGATCCCGGCTAAACGATTTGCATTCCACCCCCCCCCCCCCCACCAGTACTGAAATCCTAATATCATCAATTCTTCTAAGTTCCTGGACATTGATCTGGAGGTGGATCCCGCAGTTCCAACGCCAAGGTAAGGCAGGAAAGGCTGTTATTATCGTTATGATATTAAGAAATACGCCTTTCCACATTTTGAGAATGCACTCTTTTGGCTAGTGGTAGTTGGTTTTTGCAACACCTCCATCTCGTTTCGATATATTCCAGCGGGTTTTTTTTTTTTTTTTTTTTTTGGAAAAAAAAAAGTTTGTCGGTCAAACTTACAGTTCGTTTGTTTGCTGACAAAAACCTTTTAGCTCCCACCACCGGCGGATTTTACTAAAACCACTTCGTTTTGCACTGACGGACCTCGGATTTGCTCTAACCTCTTTGGCTGAGGATGGGGGTGGGGAGGATGGAATTTGAGGAAGAAAAACAAGGAAAAGAAAAACGAGGCTTAAAACTCTTGGGGTGGATCCCAGGAGGTTTACTATCCCGCTGGCTTTTCTCGGTGGGGCGCCGATCGCCTCCCCGCTCACCTCCAGCTTCTTTGGAACTTGGCGGGGCGGCTCTGGGGTGCGGGATTCACCAGTCTCTGGGCTTGGAGACCCAGTCCACGGACAGGTCTCTCCTTTCTGGGGCCCCTTTTCTTGCAGAGACTCTGCAGAGCACCGCAGGCCGTGAGCCCGGTACCCTTCGGTTCGGGGGCGGGGGGGGGGGGGGGGTTGGAGCTGCACGCCAGGACGGCGGCCTGGTCTCCCGCACTATTCCCGGACGCAGCTTTCGGCCGTCGCTGTTTGAACCCTGCATTTCTACAATTGCCCCCGAGCGCGTTTCCCTAGACAGAATTTAGTTTGGCCCTCTGGCGCCGCCGTACAGTCAACGCTTCTTAAGGGGGACCTGCGACTCGGGAAGCCTGAAACTGGAAAAGTCCTTGGGGGTACAGGGGAGTGTAAGGGGGAACCAAGGTGTGCGGGCGGGATTGGAGGCGCTGAAGGCAGAGGGGGGCTGTTCTGGCCTGGAGGCTGGCACGGAAGTGTCCACATTTTCTCTCCCCAGCTCGCCGCGGCTCGAGTCCGCAGACGCCCCGGGCGTCTCAGGGGGCTGCGGGCCGTGCCCACGTGCTTTTTCTTAAGGAGGCCCTCGCTCCGGCGGGACCACAAGGACAAAAGCGCGGCCGGGAGCCCGGTCTGCCCGGCTAAGTGCCGGCTCCACCTTAAATGAGCACCGCGGCCGGAGCCGGGCTCGGGACCGCCAAGGCCGCGGGAGTCGGCAAAAGTTTGTGCCGGGGTGACGCCTCGGCGGGACCGGCTGGGGACGCTTCGGCGCGGCCGCGCGGTAGGCGAGGCAGGCTGAGTCCTCACGACACGGCCGTGCTGGCGCCCGAAGACCGGGCCCGTGCAACCCGGGGGTCTTCAGGAGCCGCGGTCCCGCAGCCCGAGGACCGGCAGCCCCGCCGCCTGCGCCGCCGCCGCGCCACGGCCTCCGGGCGGCCTGGGCAGCGCTCGCGCGCGACGGTGGCGGGCGCTGCCAGCGCTCCAGGGATGCCATCCAAGGATGCACCCCGCCCCGCGCCCACCCGGCACCCCCCCCTCCCCGGTGCCAACCACAGCCCGGCGGGTGGTGGCTGCGCTCCTGCCATTCGGGACACCCGGGCTATTGTTCCGGACCCACGGCCGTGCCAGCTCTGACGGAGGAAGCGGCCTGGGCGGCGCGCGCGGCGGCTCGGAGCGCGGCCGTGCTGGACGGTCGGCGCGGCGCGGCGCGGCGGAGCGGAGGGGAAGCTCTCGGGCGCGGGGAAAAGTTGCTCGGAGGGGCGGAGGCGGTGGGTGGTGGGCGGAGGCGGTGGGTGGGTGGGGGAGGCCATCGCCCTCCTATCTCCAAAGTCGAAAGTACTCCGCGGCGCAGTAACCGAGCCGGGAGCCCAGGCAGCGGCGGCCGCCTTTGGAGCTGAGACGCTTCACCGGGAGACGAGGCCACCGGCACCCGCCTCGTCGCCGCCGCCTCGCCGTCCCGATCCGTGCGCCTAAGGGGCTGGGCGAGGCGGCCGCGCCCTGGACTTGTGTTACCCGGAGGGGGAGGACCAGACCCCGCGTCCTGGCGCCCGCCAGTGCCCAGACGCACCCACCCGCAGGCTGTGGTCACCGCCTCCGGCCGCGCTCAGTCCACTGCCATCGGTCCTTCGCCGGCCCGCGCACGAGGTCCTCGCCACCCCGCTCCCACCGCCGACTCTTCCCCTTCCACCTCTTCCTCTCTCCCTTCCTCCCACCCACCCCCTCGCCTGTCCCTCTCTGCCTCCTCCGCAGCCCCGCCGCGGCTGGGTCGCCTGGCTCACAGCGATTGATTGATTGATGTTTAATTTCCTGCCAGGCGGGGTCCCCCTCCCCCCGCAACCTCCCCTGTCCTCCTCCCCACCCCCCAATCCCCTCCATCGCGGTGGACCAGTCTGGCTTGGGTTTAGATCCGTCCCCCCACCCCCTTTCGCATCCCGAAATAACCCAGAGACTTCCCCTACCCCCACCCCAAATTATTATCTTGAAGGCGCTAGATCTGGGGACGGAAAGGGGGAGGGGGAGAAATCGGAAACCGAGGACAACCCAAGAGGACTCACTTTGCCTGATGACTCAACGCAACTAATAATCACCTCCCTCTCAGTGTGTCTCTCCCTGCGGCTTGTCAGTGAGTCCGGCTCTGGCTGCAGGCAGAGGCGGCCCAGGGAGCAGAGGCTGGAGGTGACAGCTCGGGCGGCCGCCGCGTGGCCTCCGGCGCGCGGCTCCCGGGTTCCCGTGCCTCCTTGACTCTCGGCGGTGGCACCGGCCTCGCGGCTCGGGCCGCGCCTCCGGGCGGGCTAGCGGCGCTGCAAGCCGGCAGCCTCTGCCGCCACCGCCTCCTCCCGGTTCTCAGCCCTTTCTCTCCAGAACGGGTCTCCTTCCTGAAGGTGTGAAAGGCTCTTTCAGTCTCCTCTCCCCCCCCCCCCCCCCCACTTCCTCCACGTCCCCTCCCTCCCCCCCTTCTCGTTCGGGTGCCCCTTTGGAGGAGTCCTCTTCCCTCTCTTCCTCCTCCTCCTCCCTCCCTCCCTCACACCCCCCCCCCCCCCACATCACCATCATAACAACCATCTACGCACCAGAAGAAGACACCCTGACCCAGGACCTTAAACGTTAGGACCTGGGGAAGAGGAAAGGGAAAGGAGGACAGAAAAAGGAAGACTTGAGAGAACGCTGCAAAGCAAAGCACCCGAAACTTTCCACCCTGGATTCTCTACTTTTGCTCCATGGACAGAGCCCCAGCCAGCCAAGTTTCAGACAGACCGTGAGCAGTAAGTATGCGGGGCGAGGGTTCCGCGCCGCGCTCGGGGAGTTGGGGACGCGCGGGGCTGGCTAAGTTCCTTCGCAGCGGCACCGGGCGATCGGACGGCAAAGCCGGGAAGGGCGATGCGGGTGGAACCCCACTCTCGAAGCCCACGTACTCCTCCCCCCTCCCCAATTCGGCCGCCGCGGCATCCCTCTTCCCTTTCTCCCCCACCTCCGCGTCTCCTGGACCCGAGGGCACGGCGGCTTCCCTCCCGCTGCCAAAGTGCGGGCGGAGCTCGCCCTGCGCTGGGCGCGGGGGGCGCGGGCTTTCTGCTTCCCGAAGGTGTCAGTGACAAAGCGAGCGCCGTCTCACCAGGTGTTTCCCCTCCCTTAATCCGCCCCTCGCCCCACAAAACCGGGGGTGCCGAGGCTCGCGGCGTCGCCGAGGAGCGCGCTGTCCCGCCGAGCCACCCGGAGAAAAACTTTCTGGAGTGGCCGAACCCCGGGGGGGCTGACGAAGGCTGCTCCCGCACCCGCGAATTTCCGCACGTTTTGCCCTCAGTGTTTTAGTACGGACGAGCTTTTTAGAAAAGCGCTCTGGACGAGATGGAGAGAAGAACGCTCCAGAATAATGGGTGCAACCCTACTCTAGCGATGCGAGTTACCCTGGCCAAGAACTCGGAACGCGTGTGGATGGTTGCGGACGGGGGAGTTAGGGTTGGTGCTGTGTGTGTGTGTGTGTGTACACTTGCTCTGTAAAGGTAAAAAATCGGGGGTCCTTTCACCTGGCCTTCTGGCTCCAGCCTGGCGCATCCGTCAAGTGATTAATCTGGGCGCGGACTCCGGGACGTCCGGGCTCCCCCTCCAGGGCGGGGGACGGGGGAGACATCCCCCCGCTCCACCCCGACCCCCAGACAGCGAGGCTTCTGCAGCCCACCACGGTGTCTGCCAACCCTGCCCCCGTGAACCGGCCGCTCCTGGACGGCTCCGGGCGCCTCGGGGGGCGGCCTCCCGGGGAGCAGCGACGGGGCCCGAGAGAGTCGCAGCGCGTCCAGTTCGCGGCTGCCGGGGGGGTGGAGGGTCGGGGCCGGGCCGTCGGGGAGCCGGCTCAGCGCGGGGAGGAAGTTTGCGTGGCTGCGGAGCCCGCGCACGGCGGGCCTGCCACTGGCCTGAATGTCTATCACGTGTGTGAGCGGGTTTCCCTCTTTTTCTCTCCCCCCCCACCGCCCCCTCCCTCAGGTCCCAGTGCATTTTATTGCGACCTGCCGGTGGGAACTTTGTCTCCGAGTCGGAGCAGCATGGAGCGGCGGAGCGAGAGCCCGTGTCTGCGGGACAGCCCCGACCGGCGGAGCGGCAGCCCAGACGTCAAGGGGCCTCCCCCGGTGAAGGTGGCCCGACTGGAGCAGAACGGCAGCCCCATGGGAGCCCGCGGGAGGCCCAACGGCGCGGTGGCCAAGGCCGTGGGAGGTAACAGCCCGGAGCAGGGAGGTGCGCGGCCAGCCCGCGGCCCGGAGATAAAGGCCCGGGTGTCAGAGTTCAGGTTGATTAGGCGCTGTGTCGGTGTAGGATTACCGGAAGTCAAGTCCAGGCTGCCAAATAGTGCCCAAGCCTCTCTGCAAACTGGTAGCTTCATCTCAAGTTTAAAACAAGAAAGTGGTTTACCCAGAGGGTGGCATTTTTTGGGCACTTTGCCACTGTGTGCTGAGGTGTTGGCAGGTTTATGTCACAGCCAGCTAACTGTTTCTAGATTTTCCTAGAGAGCTTTTTAGTGATTTAACTCCTTTGCTTTGCCTCAGACTATCTGTTTTAGGGATGACGTTTAGGTGTCTTGGCTTTGATGGGATAGTTGTTAATGCTCAGGCTACTACCTGCACAGGATTGTTAAGTGTGACTCTGTAGCTGGTTAGGACAGTGCTGCTAGATCAGCGAGTGACACAACTCTAGGATTACGTACTGCTGTGCTTCAAGTGAGAAATAAAGAATATTGGAAAATCGTTCAGGCCACTAGCTGCTCTAATGCTGTTGGTAAAGTTTAGACGCAGGCTCTTGTAACTTTGTTATAAATTACTGAACAAGGGAACATAACAAGGTAGTCTTATTACCTATCCTCTGTTTCTCCTTTCAGGAATTTATATTAAAGACAAGCTTTTGTTGTTGTTTTACTACGCATAAAAAAGTGTCTACTACAGTAATCTTATAAAACAAAGATAAGAGAGAAATTTAAACATTGAAATACTTTAGGATTTGCATGCCAACTGCCTAGTTGTCTTTGCATGTAAAGTGCACAATTCTACATGGTATGCAGGTGTGTGTGTGTGTGTGTGTGTGTGTGTGTTTTGGGTAAATCACTCGTTAAAATTGTCCACTTCTAAGGTTTTTTCCTAATATTTTGTAATAGTTAATTATAATGTAATTCTTTATTTTGCTTAGCATAAAATATTACAAAACAGTGGCAAAACTTGGTGATAAACTCCCATTCCCAGATTCTCTGTGTCCACTGGGTGTATTTTGAAGCATATGATTCAGTTGAAATGCCTGTTCTTTAAGTAGTTACAAATACACATTTAATAAATGACTTTTTTTGTTTTTTACTTATTTTGTGATTTGCTTCTTCATGGTAGATATTTTGTGTATTAATCATAATTTTTGGGAAGTATCATTGTATTGATTCTTAAAGGAATATTTTTTTTAACATACTTGGCTACAGAGTGTGGCTTATGTTCTTTCAATTTGGGGATATGACTATATATTTCAATGAAGCAAAGGAAAACTTAGTTTAGTAACCCACTTTTCAACTAATTTGTTGTCCTGAGACTAAAGCAATAGCCTTGAATTTTTCTTACAATTGTATTATGATATAATTATGATATGATAAGCTATAACAAATATGGTAGGACCAAACTCTTGGTGATAATGACAAGTGCTGATAATGTTTGGTGGATAATTTTTTTTTTTACAAATCCTTGGAGTCACTGTATTCTAAAAGTGCCTTTATATATAAGAAGATATGAGTTTGCAATGCCAGGTTCCGAAGACCTAATATGATTTCCTGAATAGAACCAGTACTAAACATTTCAGGATAAAATTGTGTTCCCTCCAGACAGGTTTTTTTCCCCCCTACCTTTGCATATTGTATTGAACTATGAAGAAACTGCCTTTTCTGTTGGCCAGGGGATATCTTTAGTGTAAAACAGTGATTGCTTTTCATTTTTTTTTGGAACTATAATTCACATTTGACTATTTGCTAGAAATTTGACTCAAACTAAAATTATTGTCTACATGAACAATGGATTTATTTTAATAAGTTCCTTAGTCACTTCTCTGAGGCTTAACTTAATTTAGTAATATCGAAGTTCTTATTATATGCCTTCCAAACTGAAAATAAGATGACATTTTGTTTTAATATGTACCAGTTATAATCCCAGTAAACTAGTTAATATATTTTCTATGTGGTGGATTTTTTCAAGACTTTTTTAAAAGAAAGCTTTTATTTTATATAGCATAATAGATTGTTTAGAAAGTAGCTAATTTGAGGAATCTCAAAATGTAACAACTTAGAATATAAAATTTCGATAGTACAAAGCTTTCTTATTGAATGTTAATAATTATTTTGTGGGCTTAGGTTTATATAGTTTCCAAATGTACATTAAGATGTCAATAATTTCATTTCTTTGTAACTTTTAATCATGTATATAGACTGGAGGAAAGCCAAGCCTTTTTTAAAATGCACATTCTAAATTTTAAGAAATGTTTAAAGTATACTTCTTGTTAGAGTACTTTCTAATTGAAAGGTCTTTTTTTTCTTTGAACATAGAGTAAATATAAAGTAGATTATATTTCTACCTCCCTGCAGCCTTATGCTTATATTGTCCTCATAAAGCAATTAATATAATAGGCATAGATAACTACAGAAGTATAGCTCCCCATCAATTATTGTCATTTTCAGATGTTGCAGTTTTGTTCATGTCAGTTATGATAGTGGACACAATAAGATAATTTTTGAATAATAAAGCTCCAAATTTGGAAGCTCCATAATTTTTTGTTAATCTTTAGTGTTCCTTATTCTGTAAACCTCTAACCATGCCCCTCATAAGGGAAATCATTAAGTTAATTGGTTGTTCAATAAAATAACAATTTATCTTACAGCTTTGGTTACACAGTGAGATAGATACATGTTTTTGGATGCATAGGTTGGACTAAAAAATTCTATTGTGGAGAAGGAGTTTGTTATGATGTTTGATGACAACTAAGTATTCATAAGGAAGGGGATTGTTTTAGTGCCTAAATTTAACTAGTGGAAGTAGTACACACTCTATCATAGTCTCTAGGGTTATGCTTTAATAGGGAACTTAAAAGTTAGTGCATTGTTTACAATGTAGTGGCTTTAGAAGACTGTTAGACAAGATTCATTTTGTTTTGTCTTTCCAATGCTTTCTAGGATGTTTTTGCTTTTATTTAAGCAGTGTGTTTCAAAGCATGTATGTAGTAAAATACAAATGTTCAGATGTGTATGACAGTCAGGTTTTATAGAAGGTCTTCTGGGGGAAAAAGAGGCTAATATCTCTTTAAAAAACATATGAAGGTTGGGGGAGAGTTTAGAGCAAGCAAGAGCACTGTGGTGTTGACAGCTTTATGTCCCTGCTGGGTAACATTCACTTACTAGAATTGGCGTCCCCTCTCAGCTAGTAATTCACTCCATAAGGATTTTGAAAAAGGATGATTAATGGTAGGGAAATTTATATTTGTGAAATTGATGATTAAACCTTGTAGATCTATTTGAAGACTCAGAAAAAGAAGAGATTATTAAGGATGACGAAAATAAGAATCAGATGATCTCTTTAACCACTATTAGCATAAGCACCTAAAGTACTGTCTATGCTGCATGGAATACTTAAGCCAGGCAACCTTCAGCCTAAAATGAAAGCGATGCCAAGCAGGTTTCCAAAGGGAAGCCAGGCGCTTTGCCTTCCTCCTAGGCTGCTGGAAGGTACTGGCCAGTGGTGCTTAAGTAGCAATAAATTACTGTGCTCCATTCATTGTTAACATAGGCATTTTCGCTTTTTAATGTTTGGCTTAAAGAAGAACTTTCAGACAGCTTTATTTAAACTGAATGAACAGCGCCTGAATCTACCAGATGGTGTATTTGCTGATAGGAGGCATTAAACATCAGAAATCTTTTTGATATTTTTCACTTTCCTATGAATTTTTATGTTTTTTTTGGGGGGGAGAGGAGTGTTAAATGTTCTAGATTTTATAGGGAAAAATATTTAAACTTTGAGACTCTCTTACAGAGATACCTGCTCTTTTTTGGAAAACATTTGCTTATCTTTGAAAACTAATTGTTAACAAATAACCACTTGATTTATGGAAGTCCAAGTCATCTAAATAGCTAGCCCACCAAAATAAACCTGTTCTTGCTACCTGACAGCCCTTTCAAGAGCATAACTATCTTATTGTAAGGGGGGTGGGATCGTTATGTAGTACACACTGATATACTCAAGTAGGGAAGCAAATGTGATCAAGACTTAGGCAGGGCCTCATTTGGAGCTGAACATTGTCTACAACAGCAGTTAGTTTAATTGTCTACATGTGGAACATTTCCTTTTTGCTTATGAGTAAAAGAAAGGTGGTTCAGGTCAGGTGTAGACACTGCATTAGCAGTAACAGATACATTTCACTTTTTGAAAGGAGCACAGATATGAAAGACTATTGATATTTATATATAGAATGTCTATGGTACTTAGAAATTTAGAAATATAACTGTAAAGAAAAGAAAATGAGAGAACACTATTTATCAGGATGAATACCATCTTATTTGAAGGAAGGACTCATATTGCTTCAAAAGAGAAAAACTTTCCAATACTTATTTTTTTTTTTAATTTAAAGGTTTCAAACCTTTTAAATAGAGTGAACTTAGGCTTTGGGGTCATCCAACAATCCAGCATGTCCTCTGTAGTTTTGCTGAGGTAGAAAAATAGCCCTTCTCTAAAGTGTTTTTAGTCCTTTAGGCCTGTTATTAAAATAAAGATATACTTGGTTAAAAAAATATATGCAATGGAACATACACATTAAACAGAACATAGGGTATCCACCCTCAAAGTCCTGAGCATAATTTGGTGTTTCAAGTAATTTTGGAAGTCTTATGTTCCATCAGCAGAAACCCACTGACCATTATATATTCAAGATCAGCTGTGTGTGTGTGTATGTCTGTGTGTGTGTGTGTGTGTGTGTGTGTGTGTGTGTGTGTGTGTATGTGTAGTATTTTAACTACTGAGATATCTCTTAAGACATCTGCTTTTAACCTCTACAGAAATAAGTAATATCATCATTGTTCTGAGGGTTTAACCAGTAGAATCTGTACATCTATCCTATATTGATTCTTTTTTCTTAAAAAAAAAATTTAGCCTGTCTATCTTTGTATGGAGGGAAAACAGCCTAATCATCATTTATTACATTCTGAGAATATT